GACTTCTCTTCTCTCTAAATACCTTCTTCTCCTATAGAATGGGCATCTTCATATATACTAACTTCTGGAGTTGTTACTCTGCACAAATATGGAGCCACCTTAACCAGTGGCGTAGCCACCCTTATACCAGCAGGTGCCTTGGCACCTGCTTGGTTTTAAATCTTTTTACTTGTTATATATAAATATATAATTAATTATAATTAACTAAGATTAAATTTGTAATTTGGCACCACCTAAATAAATATAATTATGTTATCAAAAAAATAAAAAAAAATAAATATAATTATATTAATGTTTTTCAATCAGAAAAATAAAACTCAATACCGAAACCCTTTTACCTAGCCCATCAATTAAAATCACTTTCAAAGCCCTAATTTGTGACTTACAATTGCAATCATGTTCAGTACTTAAAATAATTCATAATGAAGGCTCAAATTACTCTCAAAGAGGAGATGCTACTTACTTAAAATAATTCGTAGTAAGGGCTCAAATTACTCTCAAAGAGGAGATGCTACTGCAACTTATAAGATGATCACTTCCTTTAAATTTATCTTTAATTTATTTTTGATGAAAGAGATAATGAGCATCACTAAAATTCTTTGTCAAGCATTACAGCAAAAATCTCAAGATATTTTGAAAGATATACAATTAGTTTCAAGTACAAAGTAACTTATTCAAGAATTGCGAAATTCTATCCTTAAAGATTTTGTCAGTTTAAAAGAGCGTCGTTTACAATTTTAGGTATGCATTTTTATATTATATTTTAAATTATTTATTAAATGTTATTATGCATATATTTATTATATTTGTTTGTTTTCATATCCTTAGGACAATGCTTGGTCCATTACTTATTGGGATAGGTTATTCTACCTACCATTTATCTGTCTACCTTTGCTTACCACTCTTCAATACCATTGGATCAGAATCTCAATTACATTTATTATTTCTCTCTCCTATTAAAATTCTGATCTAACGATGTTGGAGAGTGGTAGGCAAAGGTAGACAGAAAAAATAGTAGATAGAATAACTTATTCCCTACTTATTATGCTGTGGGAGTAAAGTGAAATTCTTATGTTTGAAATGTTTAACGAAAAGGTTAGTGCCTTTTTATATGTTTGCTTTGATATATAATCATTGATAATTGTTCATTTGAATTTTCAATATTATGTGACATTATTTAATACATAATTTAGATAACTATGTTAGAATTTATAGTAAATTTTTTTCCTAATTAATTTGTGTAATTATAATAAATATTTTGATAATTTAATATGTCAAAAAATTTTGGCACCACCTAAAATTTTGGTGTGGCTCCGCCACTGTCCATTCATACATATTTTCCCCTTTGATACACAGCATCATGAGAAGTTTTTACGGTGCTTTGGTCTCTACTATTACCGGCACCCAAAAATTGATATAGTTCACCTTTAATGATATACATCTATGACCCCAACGGTTCATATTTCATTCGCATTTCTCACCTTGTAATGTATTCCTTATTGTTTTTGGTACATCATATCTCTTCTTTTGTATAGAGATTAACAGGATGTAATGGTATCTAATATAATTTTATTATATAATTTTTTTTCAGGCGAGTCTCATATTATATGTTATTTTAATTTGTTTTTCTTTTAAAAATAATTTCATTCATAAAATTTCGTATCACTTTTTGAGTATTTTTTTTTAACATTCTTTATTTCTTTTTTTATGAATAACTTAATGAATAATATTCATTAATTTATTTTTTTTAATATTTTACATTGAAGCAAGCAAGGGATAAAGCGAAACTCACGTTGGACTTGTTTGTATTTATAATATTTGGATTTAGAATTAAGAAAAAGCTCATTCAAAGTGAGCTTATTTATAAAATTTATCTTGTCTTCAATTTTAATAAATTAAGATATGATGTATGAAATTTGTCCTGAGGTGTAATAGGCTGAGCTCAAATGTATAACCCGTAAGGAGGTTGACTGTTGCTCTATGTATCAGCTTAAGGATCCTAGACTCCTAGTACGAAGAACCAATAAATTTTTCTAAGGTGTAATAGGATGAGTCTAGATATACAACCAGTAAGGAAATTGAGTGTTGTTTAATGTATCAGCTTAAGGGTCCTGATATGAAGACCTAGTACCTCTGTAAGAGATATGTATCGATATTAATGGTGTATTTTTTGTGAGGGAGGGTGTAACGAGTGCGTTTTAGTTGTGTAATCTGGTTTCTTAGGATTCAACCCTTTGCATGTTAATGTGAAATGCCTTATATAGATGATAATGAGTCACAATAAGTTAGAACATACCGTGATTGACAATGTCATATTGTGTTTGGTGATGGAATCAGAATTTTAAAAAAATAGATATTTTACATTTAATACTAAATAAGAATTGGGTTTCAATTTTGTCTCTATGTTAATTTTCGGTGCATAAGTGTTAGTGGGATTGTGGGAAAAATATTCGGTGGTCCCGCCTCTATTTCTTCCTCTTTCCTCTTTTTTTGTCTTCTCACATTCTCTCTCTCTCCTCCGATGCATATGAGTCGGGAGTAGCGGCGGACCCAGGTGGGCGCCCATGTCCGCAAGCGGACATAAGATTTTAGGTTTTTTTTTTTTTTTTTGGTTGCGGGTTCTTATTTGTCTCTTGGTTCAATATTTATATTAGGAGTAAATATGCTTTTAAGTCCTTAAAAAAAAATACATTCTCCACATTAGTCCTTTATAAAAAAAATTAGTCTTGAGGTTTCTAAAAAATTTAAAGTGGATCAATTTAGTTAAAATCGTGATCCCTCACAAATTCAAAAAAGACCAACATTAGTTGCTCAACAGGACTAAAATGTTTCCACTTTGAATTTTATAGGGACCAGGTAATTAATTTTTTTTTTGTTGGAGACTAAAGTGGGGACCGAATTTTTTGTTAGGGACCAAGAAGAGTACAGGTAGTGTTGACTCTTTTATTCACCATTATAAAATAGAATGAAGAATGTATGGATGTACTGAAGTATATTCTAATATTTGTTTTGGAGGATTGGTAAGATTTAGGGAAAAATGATTGGTCAAACTATTGCCTGCAGCTTGTTATGAAAGCAACTAGATTATGAGCGAGTTCATAACCTTGTATATAAAGCGTTAATCTAAACTGTATTTACAAAAAAAAATTTCGGGGGTGCTACCTCCGAACCCCACCACTAAATGTGCGGACATAAAAAAATTTTCCTGGGTCCGCCACTGGTCGGGAGCACTGAATATTCTCTCGAGATATGAGGTACTCATCCTTAAAGATAAATACACCTGATTGGCGCTATTTCTTTTCATTTCATGTTGGTGCTTGTGGAACTGGAGGAATAAAGGCATCCATGACCATCATTTCTCTCCCCCACTCAACCCGCAAAACATCATATCGCATCATACAAGAGAAACTCTTCTCAGTTGTAATTGGGAAGCTTCACTGATAGGGCATGACAGTATTGAAGGGCAGTTTCTCCACCCATTTGACGTTGAGCCTTCCTCTGGGATGTCAAGGTGGCGTCCTCCCCCAAACTTTTGGGTCAAGCTCAACATCGACGGAGTTGTTAACAGCAACTCCATGATGGCTGGTTGTGGGGGACTATTCAGGAACGACAAAGGGATGTGGCTTGGAGGTTTCATCTATTCTATAGGACGATGTGAACCTTTCTTGGCTGAATTCTGGGGGATCCTCACTGGGTTGGAACTAGCTTGGAATATGGGGTTTAGAAAGCTAATCATTGAAGGAAGAACCAAATGACAGTCATATGGTGCGTAGAATCAAACGATGGGTTAACAGAGATTGGGAGGTCAAGTTTAACTATACCAACAGAGAGAACAATGCTTGCGCAGATTGGCTCGCAAAGGCTGCACTCAGAGGAGTTTCTGGTCTCCAAGTACTCATGCACCGTCCTAAAGAACTGTTGCAACTATTTGAGGCTGATTGTAGTAATTTAGTTTCGTCTACTTCTGATATTTCTGTGTAGTTTTTTTCTTGGGGCTTCGAGTCCCTTATGCTTACCAAAAAAAAAAAAATACAACTTTACTAGTGCACTTTTTAGATAAGTTTATTTTTAAAAAGTTTTATCTTTAACACAAGGAACAAGTTACATTCACAACTTTTTTTGTTTATAATTTTTATAATCTCAACTATGTATTCCAGATTTCGAAGAATACACTGTCAAATATTTATACTCTGTTACAAGTCCTACATTGGTTACCTATACAACTAATGTGGGGTTTATAAGACCTTGCACACTCTTATCTTTTGAACTAGCTCTTGGGGTGATGATCTCAAGGTTCATAACAATTGGTGCTTTCATTGAGAGTTGAGGCCACGGAAAGGGCTACCTATCCCCTCCAAAGGGGGAAAGGGCTACCGTCGGGTTAGTGTCGATAGAGTGAAAAATGGGAGTGTCCAAGGTCTTATATACCCCACATTAATTGTATAGGCAATCAATGTGGGACTTGTAACATTGTCACCCCTTTTAAAGGTCGGGTCAGTGTTGATAGAGTGAAAAATGAGAGTGTCCAAGGTCTTATATACCCCACATTAGTTGTATAGGCAACCAATGTGGGACTTGTAGCATTGTCACCCCCTTTAAGGGCCGACGTCCACGGCAGTTTTCACTCTATCAACACTGACTCGATGGTAGGCGACTTCACTCATCTATCAGTATTCAGTGCCCAAAGGCACCTTAATCCGGACTATAGGTATCACTTTTTATTTTGACTTCATGTGAAGATGAGCAAGATGCATACCATCTACATAATTTTGACTTCATCCTAATGTAGAGGGAGCTAAAAATGTGCCTTTCAGTCCATTTTTTTCTTTTTTTTCTTTTTTGCACAATTTTTCTTAAAATACAAAATACAGTGTTGTCATTTGGTAACTGTAGCGATCCCATCTAATGAAGAAAAAAAAAAAAAATCTGTTATTGTTGTTTATTTTTTAACAGAACTTGTGTCGCTGCTGGAGCACTCTAATAATTTACAAAATCTGTATCTAGATTTTTGGGCAGTAAATTCCATCTTGAAGATGCTCGTTACTTCCAGAGGCATTAGTGATAATCTCGGAGAAGAACCTACAACAGCCACAGCTGCAAGTCACCTAGAACAAAGTCCGCGCGAACCATGTCATTGGCTTAATGAGTGAGAACTTCCCTCGGCGCAGTCATTTGAAAATACCCTTTTTTTTTCTACTGCCATGTTTGACACAGCTACAGATAATCACAAAATCTGATGGAGTGTGTTGCAAGCCAAGTATAGAGAGTGAGCTAGGGAGTGCTTCAAGAGTAGAGTGAGTATGGCACTGCGATGCCACTGTTCGTAGAAGATATTTTGTTAGATGTTTGCCCAATCTCAGCAGAGAAAAAGGATAATGCTTAAAGATTAAGCAAAACAGCATGCAAGGCTAAAATATACAAGCAGTGAACAGGATGGATCTTGGATTTATTGGTTCAAATATGCAGGAAGTTGTCTATGGAAGGAACGAGAAATCCTCACCTGTCAGTGGCTGATTTCCCTTTTGCAATCTGTACACTGGGAATAGAAATCTGATCAGGTTTATTTTCAGGTAACACTCTGGGACTATGGGGCTTATCCTGTCAATGTAAGATAAATTAAATTTAATACCAAACAGCATGGTTTGGCAAATATAAAAGAGAGACAACATTCATATTACCATCAAGGTGTTTCCATTATACGGCTGGGTGGAAGATGAAACATCTGACTGTTGTAAGTTCTTTAGAAATCGATGATCTAGTAACATTGAAGCAGTTGGCCTCTCTGCCGGATTTCTTTTAAAGCAAAGCCTCAGGAAATCTTTACCCTCTGATGACAATGTTTCAGGTATAGGAGGGGTATCCCTCATAACCTTAAACATAGCTGCGGCCTGCATAATTAGATGAGAATTTACGCAAGTTAACAAATGAAGGACATGTATACATCCAGCATCTCTGCTGAATCCACAAGCTGCAAACAGAGAAAAAAAGAAAAAAAAGTTGCATAAAAGATGCTCTAAGCTTGTTAAATCAGTTAACCCAAACAACTAAAAAGGTTGATACATTATCCTCCACTAGCAAACTTCAGCATCTGATATAAGCTCATAATAAACCATGTCTAAATATGAAGTTCTCTTTGTTAGCAAAACCATACAAGAATATTGGGGTTTTTTACCAATTGAGAATTCTACTGCTATACGGTACTAAAGTGATCTGAGAATAACAAATTGATAAAAGACAAGAGAAAACTTCTACAGATGCTTACTCCTTCGTACTCACTCCAAGGAGGCTTCCCCGTGAACATTTCAATAATTGTACAACCCAAACTCCAAATATCAACAGCAAAAGCTAGATCAGAGCTGTTATCTTTCTGCATAACTGCCTGCATAAGCTGTATAAGAAACAAGTGTCAGTATAGAACTCTTGAGACATCACGGAGTAATACGGAGTAAGAATATACCTCTGGAGCCATCCAGTATGGACTTCCTTTCAAAGAAAGATTAGTATCATGCCCAGTTAGCTGCGGAAAGAGATCCCAAGAGTATTATAATTGGCTACAAATAACTACAACTGTGGTGGTGAAGCCAACAAATAAAACTCAAAAGAAACAACAATTCCATATCATAAAATTCGAACTACAGAACAGATAGAACTTAGAGAAGCACTTCTTTCAACGGCTCACCAATCTAAAATTAAACAAAAGCATCAATATACATATTCAAGCAATGGAAATTAACAGATGTATCCGATATTCTACAAGAAGTTTCTTTGGACAACCACAACTGAATCGGCTTTAACGGGTCATAAAATTGTTTATTTGAATCAATAGAGAGGAATTTTTGAAACAATAAATTTGGTCCTTTTGACTTAATGCCTGCATTTATAATGCAAATTCCTTCTTCATGAATCTTTTAACAGTACAAAGATAGTCATGATAATAATTAGAAATCCAAAGTATCTGTGCCCTGAGAGAACCATTCTCTCTAGGGGTAATATTTTTAGTGCAAAGTACTCAGTGTGACAGTATTATTATAACTATGTGTTCAAATAGCACAGTCGCACTGAGTAACGCTCTCCCCTCCAGGGATAAGTTAAGGACTGAAACCAGCAAAAGTATATCCAAGAGACAGAGAGTGGGAATTCTACAACTCACATGCTTGGCCATCCCAAAGTCAGCAAGCTTAACAACGCCAGCAGAATCAACAAGCAAGTTAGCCCCTTTGATGTCCCTATAAGCATACAAGAAAAGAAAAGAAAAATGTCATCGGATGGTCTAAATCCACACCGAATTAGTAATTTCAGAAAGAAAGAAAAAAAGGAAAGAAAAATCAGTTTCCACTAAAAAATATTTGCACAAATATATGGTAGAGATTTTTTGTAATAATTTGATACGAAGCTCATGCTATGCAGCATATCAAGCATATGACCTGTATGTACCTATGAATTGTTTTTTTGCTGTGCAAGTAAGCCAACCCCGAAACAATATGGCGTGTGAAATTCCGAACAACAGATTCTGTTATCGCACCACAATGTTCGCGGACGTATTTATTTATTGAACCGGGATGGATATATTCCAAATAAATATAAAACTTATCTTCTACCTGAGAACACAACATCCCAAAGATATTAGAAGGTTTTGTGGCAGTTCTATAAATAATGATTCATTTTGCAGTTGAATCAGATTGCTTACTATTTCACTACCATAATACTGCACAATGTTCGGATGTTTCAGATGGCTAAGAACTTTAATTTCCTGAAAAAAAAAAAAGAAAAAAGATAAATAAACTTAGCAGTGAGGATAAAGTGAACAAGAAGAATAATTATCTTAGACAACTACAACATTTCAGATAGCTTATTCAGTAAGTAGAATTATGAGATAATCCTAATCATACACCCGTCTGATCCCAGCAGTTACGTACAAGAGAATCCAAAGCAATGAGCGCAATGCATTCTCATCCAGGCATGCAATGGAAATTACTGTTACTGTGAAATTCACAATGGGATGTGGCACATTGACTTTTTACTGAAGTATATGGTTCTGACTTCTGATAACAACTAAGTGTCCAAAACAAACAGGCAGAGCAGAAAAAATGATAATAATAAATACGACATGGCAGATAGCGCATTTTACATATTTCATATATCCTAAATAAACAGAATTAACTAACAAATGATGGACAACCTGCTCTAACTGCTTTATACACTCCGCAGATTTTGGATCATCAGAAAATATTTCTGCTTCCTTCATTGCACACAATGCTCCAGTTTCTCTGTCAAGAAGGAAAGAAATGTTGAGAGCTTCCGAGAAGGGAAGAGCTAAAAGTAGTTACGAAACATTTGTATCCATACCTATTGGTGGCAACATAAACACTTCCAAAAGTACCTCGGCCAATAAGTTTTCCTTTTTGCCATTGGCTTTTCATTGACAAGGATTCTGTCTTAGGCAGAGTTGGGGAAAAGGTAGCAGATGGTGAAGGTAATAAGGCTGAGTTAGGCCAAGGAGGCAAGGGTAAGGGGTGAACAGTGAGAGGAGCAATAGTTTCACGGCGTGTTGTTGGGGTCTCAAGGGATAACCTGGGTAAGGGTGAAGAAGCTCTAGTTGGGCTTTTGGGGTTGGGGTTGGGACTTCTTGCACGTGGACTTTGATGTGGAGAGATACGATCATTGCCTAATGCTGATAAATCAAAGAATGCAGGAGGTGGTAGCCCCGATAAAGATGTTGCCATCTCTGGTGCAGACCAGAATTGATTTGCTTTTGGTGTCACGTAATAATATTGCACAAAATCATCCATATTCCTCCCATTCGTTGGGCTTATTGTGGGACTCGCAAAAGGACTATTTGGAGCACTCCTTGCTGGCACGCTTATCGTGAAGCTATCTCTTCGTCTGCTTCCAGAACCACTCGTTTCTTGACGCACCGTCGTCCGTGGTGACCTTATTGTTTCCACCTGCTCCATGTTCCTTCTTGTCTCTTGGCTAGCAAAAACACTGTACAAGCAAATCCAAAGGTCAGAATATGCAGCAAGAAATTAAGCACCACTGGTCTCATTAATAATAATAATAATCAACAAAAATATAATTGGCCGATTCATTAAGATGGATTTAGAGATAAACTAACTTGTCTAATATAATTATTGTGGGGAATAAAATTAATGGGAATCACAGAGACGCGTGCGTTTCGGAGAAAAGAAAACAAAATTATTACCTCCTCATTCGAAAGCCAGAGGTGACGCCGTCGAAAGAGCCGTCAACTCTATCGGTGGGCCCGGCGGCATCTTTCGGCGACGGCAAACGGCATTCCCCGTCTCTCTGGCGATGAAGCGCGGGGGATGACAGCTCCGGTAACGGCAACGGCTGAGGCGCTACCGATGAGGTATTGGAGCGACTATTGTAGCTTCGGTCGACGAAGCAGCTCGGAGAACGAGACAAAGGCACAACGTTAACGTCGTCGGAGTCGTGATGCCACCTGGCATCGTTATCGCCGACGTGGCGGAGCTTCCTGGAGCGCGTCGATTTTCTGCCGCTGCCGAAGAGCCAGGCTCCGCCGCGGTGGGTGGTAGCGTCGGAGGATGGTTTCTTCTTGGGGTCGGGGAGGGAGGAGAAGGAAGGGGAGGACCCAAGGGTTGCAGAAGAAGAAGAGGAAGAAGAGGAAGAATGGGAGGAGATGAGGGTGTGCAACCAACGCATGGCAATGATTATAATAAGGCTTTCATTCATTCATTCACTATGTGTAGAGCATATAGCCATTGTTGTGAATTGTGATGGCACATGGAGAGAGAGAGAGGGGGAAGAAAATGAGATGGTGTGTGTTGTTTGTGGTGTTGTGCATGCGTAGAGCCTCTCAATTCTCTTCCTCTCTTTCTCTTTTCTCTTCTTCTTCGTTTTTGTTTTGTTTTTCTGCATTTGCAAACCATAACGCGGTTTTACAACGCCAAATGCGGCTCCCGCCAGATATGCAACCTTCCAATCCAACCTTTTCTCTCTCCACATAACAATAATGCTGAGAGGTGATGACAAGGTTATGGATAATCATATCCCATACCCTCACGCCCTCACCTAATTGTCACTACTTTCACTTTACAATCCATACACGTTCAACCTCCAACGAACTTATCATCTCTTCTATCTAGAATCAATTTGCTAATTAACATTATCATATCGTAATCATAATAATCATACATAGACTAGGGGTGTGCAAAAAAACTGGTTCAGTTGCCTGCCTTTGATCCGACTTTGACCTGATCCATAAATACCCATATTTTTTGAACTGATTTAAATATTGACCCACTTTTATTTGGGACAGACCTGACTCGTTTTAATATTGACCAACTGACCCAAAACTTGACCCATACACATTATGTGAAAAAAATCACAATTACATTAAAAGAAAAGTTTTAACGTAAAACAATTACGTCAAAATTTTTTATGGAAAATATTTTCATAAAAATTTTCGTAAAAATTTTTGACGAAAAATATTTTCCTCAAAATTTGTGACTAAAAACGTATCCGTAAAAAAATTTGACGGAATATTTTTTTTGTCAAATTTTTTTACAGAATCTAAATTTCGCCAAAATACTTCACAAAAAAATATATTCATAATAACTTTCGACGATACATATTTTTATCGAAATTCTGTGACGGAAAAAAATTTCATCAAAATTCTTTACAGATTTCAAATTTTGGCGAAAGTTTTCGACGGAAACATTTTCGTTAAACTTTTTGACAAAAAAAAATTTCGTCGAAATTTTTAGCGAAACAAATTTCTATCAAAAAATTTCGACTAAATATTTTCGTCAAGTTTTTTGATAAAGAATATATCCATCAAAATTTTCAACGAAACACATTTCTGTAAAACAATTCGTAAAAGTTTTTGACAAAAATATTTCGATAAGAAATTTTGACAAAAAAAATATTTTGTCTAAATTTTTTAGAGAATCTAAATTTCGTCGAAAGTTTCAAATGAAACATTTTCCTCAAAACAATTTCCATTGAACATTTTGACGAAATACATTTCCATCAAAAAATTTCGACGGCAAAAAATTTCATTAAAATTCTTTACAGATTTCAAATTTCTGCGAAAGTTTTCGACGGAAATATTTTCGTCCTCAAAAATTTTGACGGCAAAAAATTTCATCAAAATTCTTTACAGATTTCAAATTTTGGCGAAAGTTTTCGACGGAAACATATTCGTAATCAAAAAAATTTTGACGGCAAAAAATATCGACACCAAAAAATTTCATCAAAATTCATTATAGATTTCAAATTTCAGCGAAAGTTTTCGACAGAAATATTTTCGTCATCAAAAAATTTTGACGGTAAAAATTTCATCAAAATTCTTTACAGATTTCAAATTTTGCCGAAAGTTTTCGACGGAAACATTTTCGCCATAAAATAATTTTGACGGCAAAAAATTTCGACGGCAAAAAACTTCATCAAAATTCTTTACAGATTTCAAATTTCCGCAAAAGTTTTCGACGAAAAAATTTTCGTTAAATTTTTTGACAAAAAAAAAAATTTCGTCGAAATTTTTAGCGAAACACATTTCCATCGAAAATTTTCAACTAAATATTTTCGTCAAATTTTTTGATAAAAAATTTCCATCAAAATTTTCAACGAAACAATTTATATAAAAAAATTCCGTAAATTTTTTTGACAAAAAAAACATTTTGACGAAAAAAATATTCTGTCAAAATTCTTTAGAGAATCTAAATTTCGTCGATAGTTTCAAATGAAACATTTTCCTCGAAATAATTTCCGTCAAAATTTTCGTCAGAACACATTCCCATCGAAATTTTGAACGAAAAACATTCCTTCAAATTTTTTGACAAAATTCTTTTTTCGTGTAAAACATTTGATGGAAGAAATCATTTTCGTCAAAACTGTTGACGGAAACTAAATTTCAATAGAAAAAAATTTTTGTAAAAATTTCGATGAAAAAATAATTTTGTGACGAAATTTTTGTCTTTTCAACGTAAAAATTTCGACAAAATTTTGTGAGAAAACCAAGTCAAAAACGGGTCAGGTCAGATGTGACCCAAGTCAGAAACCAAGTCAGACCAACTTCAGAAACCAAGTTAGGTCAGATCCAAACTGGTTCTGAAATAGTTCAACAAAATTCAATCCAAGTCAGACCTGACTTGGATCAAATGAAAGCGGGTCGGGTCAAAATACCTGACCTATAAAAACCAAGTTGGGTCGAGTCGGACAAAAACCTGACTCGACCTGACCCATGCACAGCCCTAATCATACATGGGTGAGTTAATGGTGATAAGAGAGGAAAGAGAAAAAATATAAGGATAGAAAGTTACACAATCATCACCGTTGATTTAATTCTTAATGGTTAAGATCCTCCCACATGACATGATCACGTTTTTTTTTTTTTTTTGTAAACGACATGATCATGTTAAATTACACAAGAGAGAATCCATTTCCATATTTTTCATATTGTTTATGTTTATAATTATAAAGCTAGAGAAAAATTTTATTTACTTATTTTATCATCTAAAAAATTATAAAGAAAATGATGTGTAAATAACTTTATTGAGCATTATATGCACATAATTTCATTACAATATTTTTATACTATTTTTTAATATAAATGTAATATATATATATATAGAAGCCCACCTATATCAACCAAAATCAAATCAAAATATTACATATTTACATATACCTCTCAAAAATGTAATATATATATTGAATCTCTAGGTCGAGATTATTTATAGTGAACCGGGACCTCCATTTTTTAGGTGGTCTCTTAGTGTAAATAGGATGGTAAAATTGGAAAAGAGAGAAAATAACAGAAGTAAAAAGGGAAAGAAAAAAGTAATAATGTGAGAGGGAGCACCAAAAGATTCAGTGGTCCTAAACCATATTAAATATTTCCCTCTGGGTTGTCCTTTAAATTTTGTCCTATCTCACAAAATTCATGTTTTGAGAGTATTTTTTTAGTCTTTGACTCCTAAAACTCCATAATTTAGTGGGTTAGGATTTATTCGCGAACCAAAAAAATTCTTTATCTAAATACCCAGTATTTAAAATTAAAATAAAAAATATGGATAATATATATATATAATATACTTTATTAATATGTAATTATATAGAATACGAATAACACACACATATATATATATATTTTAATAATTCAATAAGAATTTATTTTTTATTTTACTTGTTGTTTTGAATTATTTAACTGAAAGATATTGAATTCCTAATTTATACTTAAATTTTATTAAATATTATATGATATTTGAAGAAAAAATAACTATATAGTTTAAATACACTTAAATACAATACTTAAAAATGTATTGCTATCATATACAAAAAAAAATGTATTTATATCAAAATTTGTATTGAAATATGGATTCACAATCTCTAGATCATTCAAATTTGAATACATTTGTTTGGAATTTTTAAAACAAAGGCTATTTACCTAATAATTAATAATTTATTATTCTAATTTTATTGGATCCTAAAAGGTCTCTGCTTCGAATCCTATGCGAATCAACTTAGGCTCAATGGCAAAAACCTCTGTGCTTTACGCTATAAAGAGGATTAATCTCATTTAAATGAGTTGGAAAAAAAATATTTTGCACAGGGACAAGTTTTATGAGAATAAATCTAATTTTAACAAAACCATATTTTGTGATGAAATTCAATCATTTAATAATAGATCAAAGGTCAAAATTGCAATGACAAAATCTATAAAATGAAATAGAATAAATATTCAAATGAATTGTTGATCTTTACGAATTATAAATTATGACTATAATAAGTTTCTAAAATCTATAATAATAATAATACAGAACAATTTCTATAACTATAAATATTCATTAACAAAATTTAAACGACCACAGACTACTAAAATTATTTTTACAATGTTAAAAGTATAAAAATTCCATAATTTTATGAGATAACATTTTAAATTTTATATAGAGTCTTGTTTAACATATTTTTTATGAAAAAAAAAACATCAAAAAATTTTCACTTAAAATAAAATTCTTACTGAGTAATAAAAATATTCACCGTAAATATTACTTATTGATAAATATAATTATTCCAGGACAGAATATAAAGTTTTTGATATACTACCAACGGATTAACTGAAAAGTAATTCAAATTTTTATTGGGATAAATTATTTTACCTACCTCTTTTTTGTCTACCTTTACTTACCTTTTTCTAACATCATTATATTATAATCTTAATTACCTTTATTATTTCTCTCTTATAGAGATTATAATATAATAGTATAGGAGAATGATAGGCAAATGTAGACAAAAAAAATAAGTAGAATAACCTATCTCATTTTTTATTACATTTAAATTGTATATTTGGGAGCAAATAATATTCAATAAAAAAATTAAATTATGGAAAATCAATATTTTTATATATAATATTTTAAGAAATTATTAAATAATTATTTATTAATTATTTATTTGAATAATTTTGAATGTATTCAATTCAGTCAGGGTGATGGAGATTATTATTTGTGAATCGGGACCACAATTTTTTAAATGGTCCCTTAGTGTAAATAGGAGGATAAAGTTGAAAAAGAAAGATAATAACAGGGATAAAAAGAAAAAAAAATTAATAATATGAGACTGAGCACCCAAAAGATTCAGTGATCCTGGACCATATTAAATATTTCTGCTTTTTAAAATTAAAACTTTTTTTTTTTTTGTTGGTA